GTGAGCAGTTCAAAGTCAGCCACCATTTCCAAGAAGACTCCTGGAAGGCAGGTACCTTCTAAGGACTCCCAGCCTCTTCACTTTGCTTAACCTCATCTTATCCTCACAAAAAATCTCTAAGGTACAGACAGCACTCTTATTTTGTAAATGAAGAAAGCGAAGCTCAGTTTCTGAACTCGCCTCGTCTTGGGCACACAGAGAGTCAGTGCTGGAGCCAGGATACGAACTCAAGTCTTTGACTCCAAATTCAGGTTTCCTTCTAGTCTACATGTCATCTTCCAGTAACAGAGTTCACTGAGCATTTACAGACGGCATGAATGATAAAGTCCCGACAGTCAGTAATGCTCCTGGAGGCTGGAGGGAGGTCATGGCTTGGAGCAGGTCAGTTGGGGCACCCTGCAGAGGATGTGGCCGGGTGGGGTCTTGACAGAATGGAGAAGGAGTGACTAATGGGCTTCTAAAGGTCTAGAGAATTAGGGCGGGAGAAAATGAGAAACTGGAATAGAATGAGCGTAAGTAAACGGGAGGGGAGAAGGGCTTGGGGAGCAGAATAAGCTAATCAACTTGTTTGGCTGAAGCATCTGCACTGTGCAAGAAAAGGTGAGGTCAACAGAATAAGCTGGAGCCAGCCGTGGATGGCCTTGCAAGCCGTCCTCAAGGGTTTGAACTTCACCTTGTGGGCAGCAGAAAAAGCCATCAAAGTGCTCCCATCTTGAAAGAATCTACCGAAGACAGCCAGTAGAGAGTTTGGAAATGACTAGGATAGTGATGTGCCAAAGATTAACATTTTGTTTGTGTTTTAGCTAAAAAGGTCTCGATCTCCATGTACTATTATTTCACCAATAATTCTTCCTGAAGCCTGGCCCTTACCTTTTAGATAATCATTATAGCCTCAGGCACGATAAACAATCTTCAGAATATATTAACATTATTGCTGCTGCTACAGCAAGTGAAGACACCNCCGCCACTGTCACCCGATATCCATTGTTTCTCAACTTTCCTTTTCCTTAGGAGTTTGCTACTTCTAGTTGAAAGCAGGGGCTGCATGTTCTCTGACCCACTTTCTAGGCTTTCACTCCACATAACAAGCAATAATAGTGCCTACGATTTCTGTGCTCATTAAGTGCTAGGTCCTAAACTAGATGCCTAACATGAAGGAGGGACTATTAATTTTATTATTTATGGGTTGGGAAAGACAGAGAGGTAAGGAGCTTGCCCAAAGTCACACAGTAAGTAGAAGTACTAGAACTTAAATTTGACTCAGGTGACTGCATCTAGGCACCTTCTAGAACAGGAGTTGGCAAAGTACAGTCCACGAGTCAAATCCTGCCCACGTGCTTTTAACAAAGAAGTTTTACCAGCACACAGCCGCACTCAGTCGCTTACTTGCTGTCCATGGCTGTTCTCACTATGACGGCTGACTTGAGTAGCTGTAGCAGAAACCTT